GGAGGGAGCTGTCCCGGACCGCGCTGCTCCGAGCGCTGAACGCACTTCAGGACTCGCTTCCCTGCTCTTTCTGGGGTGGCTTCTTCACACCAGCTGGCGTGTCCGTGTGTCCGTGTGTGTGTGTGTGTGTGATTTGGGGTGATGGCTGGGAAACCCTGCGGTGGATAGGATTATGAGCGACAGGAAGTAGATCTCTTGTCGTTCGTTGGCCTCAGAGGTGGGCAGTGTCCTCCGGGACTTGGGGGTACTCACCCAGCTCAGCCCACGGGGAGCGTGGCGAGGGGTGGACTGTGAGGACGTGGCCATTGGAGGTCACTCCGCTGCAAAGTGCGTCGGGGGCCTCTTGTTGAGGGTGGCGATCTCTGAGCCCCGAGGCACCGAGAAGGGGTGACGCTCGGAAGAAAGTGGAGCTGGACTGGTCCGCGCGAGGCGATGCTGTAGTTGCACAGGTTTCGATCGGACGCTTGGTCCCGGCCACATTGAACATCTGTCACCGGCCAAGCCCGGGACCTGCATCAGAGCCTTAGATCCCCGTCACCGGGCCCTGGGGGAGGTGGCGGGTCATTGGCTCCCTGGTCACCTTTCGAGCACTCCTGCTTTTCACCGGAGCTTCTTTCATCCCGGGGTCTTGCGGTGAGTGAACTGGTTGTGCCGGGAAGAATTTTGCCTTAAAGGGTCTGGAGAGAGGGGTGACGGTAAAAGCAGCTCAGGACTCGCCACATCCTTTCTCGGCAGTTCTCGTGGCACAGTTTGTGTCCTGGGCCTCCTGCAAGTTGAGGGGTTTGGCTGTGCTTCTGCTCTGGCTACCGCAGGAGTCCTGTTTTCCACCCGCCCCACAGAGATTTCTGCACCCTCTTGGGACAGGGAGACGTGTCCCTGTGTTACTTTGTAGGAGTGGCGGTGTTCCACGTCAGTGGACGGCAGAGCATGTGCTCTGTGTGCGCACACACACGCACGCACGTGCACACTCAGGTCATAGACAGCATCGCTGTGGGTCTTACATGGCTTCTCCGCCTCTTTCCCGCTTGCACGTGGGTGGCCTGGAGACTTGGAGCTCCCTCACTCTGAAAGAAGTAGCAAGTCCTGGTGGGGAAAATTTTTAACGTACTGGTATCTTGAACAGGTTAAAATCTAGGACATCATGTCATTCCCCCACCCTCCTCCTGTGTCCCAGGCTACCCCCAGCTGCTCATTTGCAAAATGAGGAGATTAACGTGGGGTTTTTTTTGTTTATTTGTTTGCTTGTTTGCTTGTTTGCTTTTTGATTTCAAAGAGGAAGGGAGAGGAAGAGAGAGATAGAAACATCCATGATGAGAGAGAATCATTGATTGGCTGCCTCCTGCACGTCCCTCACTGGGGACCGAGCCCCCAACCCAGGCATGTGCCCTTGACCGGAATAGAGCCCAAGACCCTTCAGCCTGCAGGCCATGCTCTATTCACTGAGCCAGAACGGCTCGGGCATGTGTTGTTGTTGTTTTTAAAAGTTCCTTTCAGCTCTGACCGGTTTGGCTCAGTGGATAGAGCGCCGGCCTTCGAACTTAAAGGTCCCGGGTTCGATTCCGGACAAGGGCATGTGCCTGGGTTGTGGGCACATCCCCAATAGGGGGTGTGCAGGAGGCAGCTCATCTATGTTTCTCTCTCATTGATGTTTCTAACTCTCTATCCTTCTCCTTTCCTCTCTGTAAAAAATCAATAAAATATATTTAAAAAAAATAAAAGTTCCTTTCAGCTCCATGATTTCTGACCTTATTTCTAATCTGACTAACAATTTGGTGAGATATGCAGTCTGTTGTATTCCACTGCTGTTTGATTGAAATGATGGGAAAACTTGCAGTGGTAACTCCACCCTCCTCCAGGTGACTCCAGTTCCGTGGGAGAGCCTCTCTCCCTCTGCCCCAGGGCTCCCACGGTGGGAAGCCAGGGTTCTGGTGCCCCAGAGAAGTGCAGCCTCTCTGGCTTCTGAAGGCCCCTCTGTTTGGGCTCTGGTCTGTCTTCCCTCCTTAAATAGAGGAGGCCTGGAGTCATCTAGAGAAAAAGGGGTAGTACAAAAGCAGTTAGAGAAGAGCATGTCAGAGGAGAGACTTTAACAGTTAATACGAATAAAGTGCTACGTATGTGGGAAATTGTATATGGGAAATTAAATGCGGAAGCTTGTGAAAGGTGTTACTTGCTAGCATCCTGAAACACACCTGTTTGACCAG